AGAGTATGTTTTGTTTTGTTTTAAATCAGACATGTTAAAATCATATATTACTGATCTGAGAGATGACAAAAAACTTTGCACAATTTAATAAAAAATAAAAAATAAACATTGCAAATCCATCCACTCACTTAAAAAAATATGTTCCATCTCTACATGCATGTTGTGTTGTGATTGTCCTGTGGTGCTCTGGAAGAACCAAATACATATTTAAATGAGGTAAACTGGGGGGAAAATAGTCCATGGGATTTAAAAAAGAGACGTGATGTTAGTTCTAGACCTCAAACATGTCAGTTTATAAAAATGTGTTCATTTCTATCTAGAGTGTAAAAATGTGGAGATAAATATAAATCTGAAACTAAACATAAATCCTGTGTCCTGTGTGAAACATCAAATTGCACTATTTATATGAATTAAAAAAGAAAACCATATTTTCCATGTACATGAGCATAAGTAAAATTAGCAGCTGCAGATGCTCTCAGAAATGCATCCTGATTGAAAATAAGAAAATAAAGTAGGAAGAGCTTCATGAAGAACTTCCTGTACTCTGCAGCTTTAAGATGCAGTGAACCATTCAGGTTTGGTTGGTTCTCTGTAATGTAAACAAGCAGATTCCTTTTTAATCGTATGATCTGTGATTGCAGATCGTTTTAGACATTATAAACCAAGGGCGTAGATTTGGTTTTGGCATTGGTGGGGACGGATGATTCAACCACCGAACTCTGCCCTGTTTCTTTTTTTTTTTCTTTTTGTCTTTGCTTCTTGATAACAAAAGGAGAAAAAAACTTGCCTATGCATGTAGAATTTTTAAACCATTTAAAATCACACTTCATAGTTTTATATGTGAATTATATAATGTTAAATTACTATTAAACACATGACTGACTAAGTATTTTAGACTTCAGCCATATTCCATATAAATCCATGTGTGTCTGTGTGTTTTCTCTTCTGGCTTTGAGAGAACATTTTCTGCCTGGTGTTGCAGGGTCGTGACTCTTTTTGTAGAATCAGTTATTATACTTTGTCACAGTCTTGTTATCTCTGCAAGTCTCCAGAAAATAAAATTCTTCAACCCAATGTTTGAGGTGTCTTTAAAATTTGTTATTTACTTCTTTAAAGTATATACTAATTATGTTCTAGTTTCTAAAAATGTTACATCCAGTGCCTCTGAGTTTTTTATAGGTCTAGATTTCTGCTCTGTTCATGTCTGTCCTAGTCTCATCTCCATGTTTCCCCACAGTCTGCTCCCGTGATATCCTCCTTGTGTATATTCTCAGCATTTTCCTCTCATCTCCCTCATTTTCCTGAAAGTAGAGTTGCCTATAAAGTGTCTTTGTTTTTGTTTTTTTTTAATGAAGAAGCAGAACATTTGCACAAAATCACCAAAACACCACATAAATCCTGCCAATCATTCACTTCCTTATAACCCACTGAATCAGGTACTGAAGCAGTGATGCACTGAATGAAGCTTCGGACCTCATTGATCACGTTGCTCTGTTTAAACAAACCAGGGCTGAAGCAATGCACTGATTTTTTAGACACATGCGCTGGAGATTCAGCTTCAAACAGACAGTCATTAACTATTAGTGTACTTCTCATGTTTCTGAGTTCTTTATTTGGGTCCCACCTGTCATGGTCCTGGGTTATGTAACGTGCGTTTCAATGTATTTTGTTATTCATTTGTTTTCATTTTAGCTTATCTTGTTAATTTCTATCAGGCCTAGGTGGCTGTTTTAGTGATTTGTTTATTGGATCCTCTCGTGTCATCAGCCCCTGTGTTTTAGTCTCCCTTGTTGGTTCATGTTATTAAGTTCATGTCATGTCTGTGTCTCGTCAGGTTTAGTATTTATTTTGAAAGTCTCGTTTCCATGTTCCATGTGTTTTGTTTTACTTCCCCTGTGGCATCACTATGTTCATTCTAGTCAGCTGTCTCCTCGTGTGTTTCCACTTCCCTTGATCACCTCTTAGGCTACGTCCACACGTACACAGGTATTTTTGAAAACGGAGATTTTCCGTTTTCGTTTTAAAAAATAATCCTGTCCACACGTAAAAGCAGAAATGAAGGAAAACGCTGCTAGGAACATGCCAAAGCAACAGGTGGCGCTATATTCCTAACCGTGTAGATAAAAAAATAAAAAAATACAACAACAAACAACAAAAACAAAAATATCCATCCTGGCCGGAGTTTTTAAAAATCTCTGTTTTCAGTGACCGAAAACGCCGTTTACGTGTGGACGAAAGGTGCAAATGCATAGAAAAATCTGCGTTTTCAAAAATACCCGGGTACGTGTGGACGTAGCCTTAGTCTGTGTGTTTTCTTTCAGTCTTCGTCGGATCGTCTGTGTTACCTGCCTCCATGTGTATATAGTCATTGTCATAGCTGTCATAGTTTTCTGCATCTTATCATAGTGATCACAGTTATCATAGTTGTCATAGTCGTTTCATAGTTTCTCTGTCTTTTCTCTCAGTTATTTCAGTTTTCCCAGTTTAGTGTTTCATTTAACTCTTGCCCCTGTTTGCCTTCGTTTCAGCTCGTGAAACTTTGTTTCAGTTGTGTATTCATGTTATCAGCCACAATAAAGGCTCGTTTTTTGTTTGTAGCTCAGTTTCGTCTCCCTCCCTGTCTGCTTTTGAGTCCCTAGCTAAAACACACGGGCATACCTCGCCATGACACTACCTCTACCAGCCACGCAACCACCATGAGTTGTGTGTTGTCAGCACTCATCATTGTTGATGATGGTGGGATGCTGTCTTCTGCTGTGAGAGCATCGGAGATATTTGTTTCTCTTGTAGTGATGGCCAAATGAAGCCTTGAGATTCCTGGAAGCTTTACATCCAATTAGTTCAAAAAATGGTTCGTTTCTCGAGGCTTCATATGCACATGAACCCCCTCTGCTGGTCAAAATCTTTACTGTTATTTCAACTATTTGTCATTTCAGACACATTGAACCCTCTGCAATTTGCATATCAAAAGAATCACTGCACTGAAGATGCTGTTAATGCAGCCATCCACACAGCCTTCTCACACCTCAAATATAAGGACACCTTTGTTTGAATGCTGTTTATAGACTACAGATTCATTCAACACCGTCATCCTAAACAGACTGATGGGTCATATCAAAAATTTTTAGTTTTTAGTTCACAAATTATTTGGATTATGAAAGGAGCAAGCTGAATGATTTCCATATTTCCTTGGACTCTCCCAGAGAAAACACGCAGATCGCTTAATATATGTTGTAAAAACCTGATTATTAAAACGACATATGAGATAATTTTTAAAAGTACAACAGTGTCACCCGATGTGACTACTGTAATCAGTAGTGCGTCTTTTGTTGGCTAGAAATATACTTTATTTAAGAAAGATGGGGGTTAACCTGGCTGTTTTCAAAGCCTGGATTATATATATGTATATGTATATATATATATATATATA